GTCCCGGCGGTGAAGGTTCGCGCGGTCGCGCATGCGCTGCTGTACTTTGGTGAGATTCCACCGCAAACCGTCCAGCTGCTCAGCGCATGCGCTGCTGTACTTTGATATGTTACAAATTGTCACATTTTATTTGGTCATACTTAAGTTCTTTATTATATTTTTAATGCATTTTATGTGAAAATAACGTGTATAATGAAATATTTGGCTCTTTGGGCAACTTGTTATATTTTTACACTAAAATAATAAGTTGGGTAAAGTTTTTATTTTATTTCGTGTTGAAATTAATTTCTCTTATATGTATATTCAGATATACTGTTTGGATAAAAAAAGGGATGTCAAATTGAAGAGATGAAGAACTGGGCCAAGCTTTAATGGAAATGAAGATTTAAAGTCCAAGTGCAAGTTTTTATCCAATTGCTATACAAATCCTATCTCAACCCAACCCAAATTAAACCTTAAAAAAAGAGAAGAGCGGCATCTTAGAGGAGGCTGGAATCGAAAAAAGAAACGGAAGAACAGAGAGCAGTGACTCAACAACCTAGGGTTCTCCTCTACCTCTCATTTCAGAGTTTAACTCTTCCCTTCTTCTTTATTTATGTCAAGTTTTACATTATGTTTGGCTAAACTCCATAGCTAGGGCAAGGATGAAACTTATATATTCAATTTGATTTTTACTCATGATTTATTTTTTCACATTGATCTTAAATGTTAATTGTCTATTTTTCCAATTGATTGTTAGGGTTAATTTTTAGATGAGTTCAATCATGTTTTTCTCATGCTTTGAATAATCCTGATAATTGTTTGACAAGTTAAAAGAGTGGATATTAGTTGTGATTTCTTGTTGAGATACAATTAATGATTTGAATTTCTCTTAAAACTTTGAAAAATAGCAAACTATAGAAATTGATTCTTTTAGAGCTTAATTGATATATTCTCCATGATAACGAGACTTGGTTGCGAGATTATCATGTGTATTAAGTTTGGAAAAAATAATGATTGAGTAAAAAATTACATTTAAATGCATAAGTGGATTCTAAGTCCTAGTTCTTTCTCATATTTGAAAACTTATTTTTAATCTTTTAATTTTCTAGTAGTAAGTAAAATCTTTAGTTTTTGTTTAGTTTAAAATTTCTTTAAAATTATTCACTTTCACATTTAGTTTTTCTTAAAATATTAAGTTTTGTCCAACTAGATTAGAAATATTTGATTGAATCTAGAATAAAATTCTTCACATATTCAAGTCTCTGTGGGATCGACCTCGTATTTGCGTTGCTATACTTTCGTACGGTTCGTGCACTTGCGATTAAATAAAATATCACAACAAACCTCACGATGAACAGTGCCACCGATCTTCCAAAGGGAATCTCCCCTTGATTTTGTGGTCCGTTTTTGATTATTTTTGGTTCCTTGGATTCGTATATCCATGAAGATTACTATTTTGACCTCAATTTCAAAGATTTGTGGAGGATTTCACGTCAATTAAAGGTCAACCCAGTTGCATACACTGTTCAGAACGGGAATTGCAGGCCTGGTTTTCTTCAGTTTGCTGCTGATTTGAACCCCAAATTTGAGCTATTGTGAGCGACTTGGTGTTCCCAATCACATTCATAAGCTTGTGGAGCAATCCCAACAAGAATTTGTGATTTTTGGCTCAATTTGGGATTTCAGGTACTATTCACAGCGAGATTCTAGCTCCATGTTCTGCTGCTCCTTTGCTATGGTTTTGTTCTTCATTTTGGGTGATTCCAATGTGTTATTTGTGCTTTGTTGGGTGATTCCAAAGATTAGTTTGAGCTGTTATCCTGTTTTTCTAGTGGTGTTTGTCTTGGTTTTTGGTGGAATTTCCCCAGGTCTGTTTCTGATAGGGACGCTGTGCGACGCAAGGCCGGGAAGAACCCCTAGGCGCAACGTTGGGCTGGCTAGGGAGGAGTCCTTACGGCAAAGGAAGAAGAAGAAGAAAAACTATGACTAAACTAGACTTGTGTATTGATTGAATTCTAAAGTAAAGGGGGTTCCGCTATTTATAATTGATAGAGAACCCTAATCCTAGTCCTGTCGGTTCAACAAAGACGTCAAGGGAAAGAATCGAAAAGAAAACCATTGAAGGGACTTATAATTCGTCCACCTAAAAAAATCTAAAGTACAAATATAAAAGAGACGTAAAAATTAAACATAATCATCGAAGCGTTGCGGTCTCCGTATGTTCCTCTTCGGTCGCCCGACTTCTTGGACGTCCTCCCGATCTTCGCTTGTGGTTCCGTCGGCATGGGCTGCACGCGTTGGGCCCTCGTCTCCCGAGACCGTATTCCGTAACTCCTCCTGCCGTGTTGTGTCCGTATCAACTCCCCTGGGGTTGAGAACGGCCTTGTCCTCAAGACCGAGTGTTGGGAATTTTTGACGTATGTGGTCTGCCGGTTCCCACGTCGCATGTGTACCCCCATCGTCTGACCATCATACTAACGACTGTTCCTGGGGTTGACCCGCGACGAGTATTGTGCGACTCGGACATGCCGAAATTGGCAGTGCCAGTACCTGCCCTTGGTAAACCTCGGCTGGCAGAGTTGGATTGGGGAGCGGCTGGCCATTGGAGATGAAGGGCCGTAACAAGGAGACGTGAAAGACGTCGTGAATTTTGCAGCCCTCTAGAAGCCGTAGTCGGTAGGCAACCTGACCAATGCGTTCAAGCACCTCGAACGGCCCATATTATCGGCGTGCGAGCTTGAATGACCACGGTCGAACCAGGGAATGTTGACAATAGGGTTGTAGTTTCAAAAGGACCTGATCCGCAACTTCGAAATGAACGTCCCGTCGGTGAAGGTTCGCGCGGTCGCGCATGCGCTGCTGTACTTTGGCGAGATCCTGCCGCAAACCATCCAACACTTCAGCTCGCTCACGTAACATCTCTTCAATTGCTGGGTTGTGAGAACGAACAGCCAATGTAGGGAATAGGTGATATGAGGGGACGGCCAGCCATACAATGCTTGATACGAAGACATATTAAGTCCGTCATGGTGCCCACAATTGAGAGCCAATTCTGCCCATGAGATCAGTGAAGCCCACTTATGCGGTCGCTCGAAGGCAAAAACCCGAAGGTACTGCTCAAGGCCTCTATTCATCACCTCGGTTTGACCGTCCGTCTGGGGATGATAGGCCGATAGGGCATGCTAAATTTGAGGGATGTGCCACTAGCCTTCAGCAACTCGCACCAAAAAGAACTCATAAATACCGAATCGCGATTCGAAATAATTGTCGTTGGGAACCCATGGTGTTTGACGACCACGTCCAGAAAGAGGTGGGCCACCCGCGACGCGTCAAACCCTGTTGGTAAAAGGCCGAAATGGGCATACTTGGACAGTCGCTCCACGACAACCATGATGACGGTGAACCCACGAGACGGGGGTAATCCCGTAATAAAGTCCATAGAAACCGAGTCCCACACACGCTCGGGAATAGGAAGGGGCTATAGTAAACCCGCTGGTTTTTGTGTTGAATACTTTGTAGCTTGACACGAGAGGCATGCTGCCACAAACTGCCGTATGTCTCGACGCATCCCCCACCAATAAAAGACATCTTCTAGGCGCTTAAATGTGCGGTCCACCCCCTGATGACCGGCAACCGTGGTGCTATGGAACTCATGAAGCAAGACTGCCCGAAGTGAAGAGGACGGACTAATACAAAGACAGTGTTTATAATATAATAACCCATCATGCAGAGTGATATGCGGCGGCGCGGTACCCTCCTAGACAGTGGAACGAAGAGATTTGCAGTCCTCCAGAGTGTCATTATCCCTCCGAATATTCTGCAAGAGGAGAGGAATAGGTTGAGCATAAGCTAGAAATAAGTCCGCCGGTTCTTCCGTGGTGGGGGCCGCTTGTGTGTCCCGTCTGGAAAGGGCGTCCACCACTCTGTTGGACGACACTCCCGTTTTGTATTCAATCCGAAACTTGAACCCATTAACTTTCGGATGTAAAATTGTTGCTCCGGGGTTTGGATGACTTGGCAAAGTAAGTCCTTTAGACTCTTTTGGTCACTACGTATCACAAACTCCCGACCCAGGAGATATTGGCGCCACTTTTGCATGGAATCCACGATGGCGTAAAGTTCTTTGTGATATGTGGAAGCTGTGCGTCGGCGTGGTCCAAGCTTTTTACTGAAGAATGCCAATGGGTGACCCCGTTGCATGAGTACAGCCCCGATGCCCACATCAGAAGCGTCCGTCTCAAGGTAAAAGGTTTGGGCGAAGTCTGGGAGTTGGAGGCCCGGGGCGGAAACCATAGCTTGCTTCAAGCGATTGAAACTGTCGTCGGCGGCCTCGTTCCATCCAAAGCCATCCTTTTTTAAGAGCTCGGTAAGGGGAGCTGCGATCATGGCATATCCCGCCACGAAACAGCGATAGTATCCAGTGAGTCCCAAGAAGCCGCGCAATTGAGTGACCGACGTAGGCCGCGGCCAGGAAAGCATTGCATCGATTTTGGATGGGTCAGGTTTTAAAACCCCTGCCGTGACCACATGCCCAAGATATTCAATGGTGGATTTGCAAAAAGAGCACTTGGATAACTTGACGAAGAAAGAATTTGCCTGGAGAGTTTGTAAAACCAACTGTAGATGTTGTGCGTGGCTAGTGGCTGTAGGGCTATACACCAAAATGTCATCGAAGAATACAATGACGAAATCCCGAAGATATTTCCGAAACAGGTCATTCATTGCTGCTTGAAAAGTAGAGGGGGCGTTGGTAAGGCTGAAGGGCATAACAAGAAATTCGTAGTGCCCTTTGTGCGTCCGGAAGGCGGTTTTGAAAATGTCTGCATCATGCATCCGGATTTGATGATACCACGAACGTAAATCCAATTTAGTGAAAACCCTTGCATGCCCCAATTCGTCAAAAAGCTCGTCCGAAGTAGGAATCGGAAAGTGATCCGGTGTGGTGACCGCATTTAAGGCCCTATAATCCACGCAAAAACGGTACGACCCATCTTTCTTGCGACCATGGTGCAGCATCTCACGTACTTGCCGTTCTATTTCTGGTTTCTAAAAGTATGGGTAACGGTAGGGCCGAACGTTGACAGGTTTTGTGTTGGCGGCCAGATGGATGCGATGATCCCACATCCTAACCGGAGGTAGGGCCTGTGGCAGCTGAAAAACGGTGGCATGAGACTCCAATATTGTCCGAACTGGTGGTGGAACATCTGTGGGGAAGACCACCTCAGCACTCTCCGACGGAGGTGGTAATTGAGTCACCGGCAGCAACTCAAAGAACTCCAGGGGCGTTTGAGCGGCTAAAGAACATAAATGGCTGAAAGAAATAGGATTAGGGGCTGCCGTATTGCCGCGCAAAGTGACTGGAGACCCGTTCCAACAAAATTCCATGGTCATGTTAGCGTAGTCGTGAGAGACCTTGCCCAATGTCTGGAGCCATTGAACGCCAAGCACGACGTCAGGGCCATGTATTTCGAGTAAGTACAAATCAACCTCGAAGAGAACACATTGTAGCAATAGCGGAGTTCGAGGGCAAGAATACGCACAACGCAAGGAGTCCCTGTTTGCCACATAAACACGAAAGGGAGGGACCGGGTGGAGAACCAACGACAAGCGTCCCGCCACTGTCGGGTGGATAAAATTATGCGTGCTGCACCCATCCAATAAGACCTGTACGTCCTGGGTATTGACCGACCCAACCAATTTCAAGGCGCGAGGACTCAGACTGCTGGCTAAGGAATTAAGACTAGACACATCGGCCAAGATCACGGTGTCTTCGTCAAGCGGTGATACATCCTCCGTGACTTCGCCGGAGTCATCTTCCTCATCAGGCCCCATGTAGGCGAGGAAACGGCCTTTGCAATGATGTCCGAGAACCCACTTCTCTTCGCAATACCAACACAACCCCTTTTTACTCCGTTCATTTTTTTGGGCTGCCGTAACACGCACAATAGGCAGGGGCGGAGCAGCGGATGGCGCAGGAGCTCTGACACCAGATGCGCCCGGCGTGGAGGAGGATGGTGACGAATGAACCGTCCCCTACTAAATGGAGCGGAGAACGATGGTCGAGCAGGCCATGGCCGGCGGAGGGAATTGGATTTGTGATGACATGCGGACAGTTCGCGAGCCAATCCAGAAGCCTCCTGCAAGGTACGGGGGTTGCGCAAATTAACCTCGCGCTGCACTGGGGAACGTAGCCCCGAAACGTACATAGCAACAAGGGTTGGTTCGGGAACACCGGAAATTTTATTAAGAATTGCCTCAAAAGTGGTTTGGTAAGCCAAGACGATAGATGTCTGTTGAAACTTGGAAAAGGAACCAATATAATTTTCAAAATATTCCTGGATCAAATCGTTGACGAACGGCCAACAGAAACGCCTCCCAACTAGTACCACAATTGTTGGTTTGGTAGTAGCGAAACCAATCGGACGCCAGGTAATCAATTAGCATGGAGACTAACTGCAACCGTTCATACTCCAGTGTCTGGAAGTAATCAAAGTAGTTATGAATCCGAAAAATCCATCCCGCCGGATCGTCGCCGTTGAAACGTGGAGCCTCAACACGTAGCCTTTGAATGGCGTCGTTGTGGGAGCCGGTACCGGGTGCGCGCGGGGGAGGAGGGCGCTAGCCCGTGGGTTGTGGGTGATTCCTTCGTTGCTTTGGTTGGAAGGACGACGCCGTCAAGGCAGAAACCTGTTGTTTGGTTGCCTGCAATTCGGCACTCAGATTGTTGACGACTTTCATAAGATCCTCCAGGGTAAGGCGTGGCGTCGACGAAGAATCCGGTGTGGGTGTCGCAATGAGAACGGCAATGAGAGCACCAGTTGATAGGGACGCTGTGCGACGCAAGGCCAGGAAGAACCCCTAGGCGCAACGTTGGGCTGGCCAGGGAGGAGTCCTTACAGCAAAGGAAGAAGAAGGAGAAAAACTATGACTAAACTAGACTTGTGTATTGATTGAATTCTAAAGTAAAGGGGTTCCGCTATTTATAATTGATAGAGAACCCTAATCCTAGTCCTGTCGGTTCAACAAAAGCGTCAAGGGAAAGAACCGAAAAGAAAACCCGTGAAGGGACTTATAACTCGTCCATCTAAAAAAATCTAAAGTACAAATATAAAAGAGATGTAAAAATTAAACATAATCATCAAAGCGTTGCAGTCTCCGTATGTTCCTCTTCGGTCGCCCGACTTCTTGGACGTCCTCCCGATCTTCGCTTATGGTTCCGTCTACATGGGCTGCATGCGTTGGGCCCTCGTCTCCCGAGACCGTATTCCGTAACTCCTCCTGCCGTGTTGTGTCCGTATCAGTTCCTTGCTGCTGCTTTGTGGTACCGCTGTTGTACGTGTTTGTTGGTTTGAGCTATGGGCCACAACAAGAAGAACAATAAGAAGAAGGGAACTAGGAAAAACAGCCACAACATTACAAACTACGTCTTTGATGGAACGCCATTTAGTGAGGCAAAGCAGCGGGGGGCTGCCGGTCATAACAATGGTAACATCGGGGGGCTGCCGGTCATAACAATGGTAAACCACACAAGTGTTTCCACTCTAAAAATTACACTGGCTAGGCTTCTTTTTCCTCGGCTGATATTAGTTTCACACTCAACTCAGTTGACACAATCTCAGTTGAGGACACTTTTTTGTCACTAACGCCAATTGGGGAAAAACAGGATTGTGCAACGAGTATTGAACTTGAAAGTAAAACCAATTGCCCCCCTACCTACTTCCTCTTCCACTTCGGCTAACCGGGATCCTGACGAGGGTTTTCCTTTGGATAAAATTGTTTTGAGAAGGATTTGTAAAATTCTTCCCCATTTAAATTTTTATAGTATATTTTATTTGACATCAAAAATTAATATAAAAATATATTTAAATCAAATATAATACCAATATCATTTTTAAACTAGTATAAAAATATACTTTAAATAATTTATGTCAAAATAATTATTTTCATAATTAAAATGACAAACTAAAATAAAATATTCAATATAAAATATATGTATATTAATCAGCACACACACACACACACACAATATATATATATATATATATATATATATATATATATATATATATATATATATAGGGGCTGGTTCAAGTGACAATGCACCTTGGTGAAAGAAATAAGAATAAAATCTAGCCTTTGGATCTAATGCATCGTGCGACTCAGATTGCATTCTGCACTCAAATTTTGAGATCGTGCATTTTCAAACGATTATGGTGCATTTCGACATGATGCATTTTCAAAACATTTTGGTGCACCTAATTTTGATGCAATCCTAACCCTTAGATCTCCCAATCTAATGCATCAGATTCATTCTTATTTCTTTCATTAGATTGCATTCTCACCTGAACTAAAATCTATATATATATATATATATATATGGGATTTACTCTAGTGAGATGACACCTTACGGTGAGATGACATGCTTCGGTCAGATGACACAAAGCTTACCACTTGGCCACTGCAAAGCTCACCAAAGACAACTACAAAGCTCACCAAAATGTAGGGTGTCATCTTAACCTTTCCACAACTCAGACTCCGTATAAATGTATCCATTTGTCTCAATGTCTAGACTTAATGTAATGGATTAAAAAATCCAGCTTCTATCCTTTAAGCCATTAACTGATTTATCAAGTGTGACTGATAGGAACAAACGTCATAAAAGCATCTCAACATGGCCATGTAATTTCCTTAGTCATAACTTATCAGTGGGCCGTACAAGACATTAATCTCGTAAAAAGAGTAGTACGTGCTACGGCATACCCAAAACAAAGCCTGTATACCATCCTTATTCCATATGGCTTAGGTCAATGCATCAAAGCATGCACGTTCACATATGGAGAAAACGTAATACTTTAAGTCATAGTTACATCCGCGGTTGCACTAAAATTGCTTAGAGCATGAACTAAAAGTTCAAGCAACATCTTTAGGGTGGGTGAGTGTGGCATCATATTCTCTCTAGATAATATCTGCCCATGTGCGGATGCAAACACTTTGTCATTGACTATGAGACTAAGTCAAACATCCAACACACACTAGTCTCTCATGCATTAATGATATCCCAGTCTCGTTAATAGTTAACTATGGACATTTAGATAAATATTTATCTTAAGATCTTAGTCTCATCAGTAGAAAAACACTATCTGATAAACATCTTTAAATATAAATTTAGGAATATAATATTTTTTTATATTAACATGAGATGTGTAAACATATTATATTTGCATATACATGATAGAATAACGATAAAAATGTTGGCCATCAGGGCACAACTCCAACACTTTACATCCGCAAAATCGTGAGACTGCATGGAGTGCCAGTGTTTATTATATCTAATCGTGATCCATGATTCACTTCCCAATCCTGGAAGAGTCTCTAGAAGGCTCTTGGTACTAAGCTCAATTTTAGTATAGTGTTTCACCCTCAGACAAATGGTCATTCTGAGAGAACGATTCAGATCTTGGAAGACATGAGATGAGAGCTTATGCCATCAATTTTGGTGATGGTTGGGAACGATACCTGCCATTAATGGAGTTTGCCTACAACAACAGCTACCATGCTAGTATTCAGGTGGCTCCGTACGAGGCGTTGTATGGAAGACGTTGCAGACACCCGGTCTGTTAGACCGAGTTGAGCAAGCACAAGCTCAAAGGACCCGACCTTATTCGCGAGGCAGAAAAGAAAGTTTGTTTCATATGTGACATGGTACAAGTTGCTTCAAATCGTCAGAAGTCCTACGTCAACCTCAAGCATAAAGAGATGAGTTTAATGTGGATGATTGGGTATTCCTCAAAGTTTCTCCGTGGAGAAACGTGTTGTGCTTTGGAAAGAAAGGAAATTTAAGTTCTAGGTTCATTGGACCATACCGGGTCATTAAACAAGTAGGACCAACGGCTTACAGGTTGGAGTTACCCCCAGAGATTCAAAAGATACAAGACGTATTTCACATGTCTATGCTTCGAGCATGAACTAAAAGTTCAAGCAACATCTTTAGGATGGGTCAGTCCGGCATCCTATTATCTCTAGATAATATCTGCCCATGTGCGGATGCGAACACAACGTCATTGACTATGAGACTAAGTCAAACATCCAACACGCACTAGTCTCACATGCATTAACGATATCCCACTCTCGTTAATACTCGACTATGGACATTTAGATAAATATTTATTTCAAGATGTTAGTCTCATCAGCAGAATAACACTATTTGATAAACATCTTTTAAATATAAATCTAGTAATATAATATTTGTTTACATTAGCATGAGATGTGTAAACATATTATATATGCCTATACATAATAGAATAATGATAAATAGTTGGACATCAGGGCACAACTCCAACAATCTCCCACTTGCACTATGGCCAATCTGGCATCGGTCGAATGCCCATGGACTTAGTGTGACCCTCATGCTTTAGCTTTCCTAAAGGCTTGGTCAAGGGATCGGCTATGTTGTTGTCAATATCTACTTTGCAAATCATCACATCTCCTCTGTCTACGATTTCTCGTATGATGTGATAGCGTCGTACAATGTGTTTGGTTCTGGTGAGATCGCGGTTCCTTTGCCTGTGCAATGGCCCCAGTGTTGATACTAGGAACCGCTCCAAGTTCAGTAATGAACTTCTTGATCCAAACAGCTTCTTTAGCTGCCTCGGCGGCAGCTATGTACTCAGCCTCTGTGGTCGAATCGGCGGTTGTATCCTCCTTGAAGCTCTTCCAGCTAAAAGCCCCGCCATTCAGGCAAAACAAATATCCTGCTTGTGATTTTGAATCGTCTCTATCGGTTTGGAAGCTAGCATCACGGTAACCGACCACCTTTAGCTCTTTCTCACCACTGTATACCAGGAATGCATCCTTAGTATTGCGAAGATACTTGAGGATGTTCTTGACCGCTGTCTAGTGTGCTTCTCCTGGACTTCCCTGGCCTGGTATCTGCTGGTCATGCTTAAATCGAATGAGACATCAGGTCTAGTACATATCATGGCGTACATGATGGATCCAATCGCAGAGGCGTATGGAACCTTCATCATGAGTTCCTTCTGCTCGGGAGTAGAAGGACTCTGGCTCTTGGAAAGAACCGTGCCAGGTGTCATAGGTAAAGATCCTTTCTTTGAGTTAGACATGCTAAATCGATCAAGGATTTTATCTATATATGTACTTTGATTCAGACCTATTAACTTTCTTGATCTATCTCGGTAGATTCTTATGCCAAGGATATAACTAGCATCCCCTAAGTCTTTCATGGAGAAGTTCTCGCTCAACCACGTCTTTACAGAAGTGAGAGCGGGAATATCGTTACCCATTAACAATATGTCATCGACATATAAGATTAGGAATACTATTACACTCCCACTGACCTTCTTGTATACACAAGATTCGTCAGAGTTCTTCTCGAAACCAAAACTGGAAATGGTTTCATCGAAACGTATGTACCAACTCCGAGATGCTTGTTTCAATC